GACTGAAATGGTAGCAGCATGATAGAGGTCTATTGTATTCGAAATGTAAGGCCCCAAGTAGGCTACCACAGCAAGGACAGCTGTCCCGGGCTGATTTTGTTTTGTTTTTAAGTACAAGCCAGGTGGTACACAAAATGGTAATTTTATAACGATCGCAATTAGGTTTCAAATGTAGTTTACAAACGTGTTTCAATTAGAAGTTTCTTGACACCTTTGTCGTAATACTTAACATTTAATAACGATGGTTGTATCATCACAGGCAAACTGGTCGAAACTCGACGGAGGAATTTGGTCAAGAATGTGAGTATCAACGCCGTTTTACCTTCAATAGTACGGCGGATAGGTGATGGGACTATTTATGTGATGATAAAAGCATGGAAAATTGCATACAGTCAGAGTATATCATGAGAAAGATATTTGGCTATTATAGGCGATCGCAGATTTGTCCTTGGGAAAAAAATAAAGTGAAATAACAAGCAATGGCAGCAATATGACAATTTGGAGAATTGCTTGTTATTCTACCTCTATTTTTTTCAAAGGACAAATCTGCGATGGACCTATAGCCATATATCTTTCCTATAACATACTCTGATTGTGTGCCACATTCCATGATTGTATCATCAAAGTGAACAACCCCCCCCCCCCATATTTCCCATGTATGGGCGGCCAATAGGGCAAAAAAGACAAAAACAAATATAAAACAAAACCACAAAATTAAACGAAAATACACAGAAATAAACGAACAACTCAGAAATAAACGAATGTAACTCAGAAATAAACGTTTAATTTTGTGGTTTTGTTTTATATTTATTTTTGTCTTTTTTTGCCCTATTGGCCGCCCATACCCCTGTATGCCCAACTAAAAAGGGTTTGACTCAACAATATTTTCGCTTTCATAACACTGAATTCAGAAAGTAACATACATCTGCCCGGTTGAGGTTCGCCTTGTGTTTTCTATAATACTTCTACAATCAATCTCCCATTAATTTAACGGTCTAGTCCTAAATTCTAGAGTGATAAAAGTGCCATATCCCAGTGAACATTCATCAAGATAGAGTCGTGAACTTGTTTTGCAATGGACCGATCCAGTAAGCACCGCCCCATGGTGTTCTGACCAATCACAGCCGTGATTTATGTCCGACGTGCGTGCACTAAAGTCCGACATGCGTGCACGCGCGTATGATGCGCTCGGAAAGAAAATGCAGCGTGGCATTGGAGAGGAGCACGTGTTAATTTGCCCACGTGTGCACTGGGCGGAGCTTACTGGATCGGTCCATTACATGGGTACTATCGTTTTGTTTTATTATGGGGTATGATTGTATTATGGGGTATGTTTGTGTTTATTTCAGTATTATAAATGATCGTTAGCGTGATAATTCATTCAAAATATGTTAAAGTGGTACTGACTTTTTTCTTCATTGACTCTTCAGATGCTGAGCCTGAGCCCGAGCAACAGCAACAAGTTCATGAACAACCGGTTTCCAACAGCGTCGAATACGCCTACGCATCATACGATCAGCAGGGACGGGTACCAGCCAAGGCTGACACGGGGGAACCACACACATACACAAATGTCAACCAGGATGGCGGGGGAAATCAAGCGCAAGGTTGGAGGGTGAACCCACATGCTTGCCCGACGAATAACACAAATGATTCGATGCAGCTGGTGCCCAACAGCGGCCCCGAATACGCATATGCCTACGTCTCGCAAGCACGGGCACCAGGGAATGCCCTACCGGTGGAACCACTCCTATTCATCAACGTGAAGAATCCAAAGCCCAATGGGAAACAAGCAAATGTCAGGGGCGTGAAGGGAAACGGGAAGGGTTTGGAGTTTGAACACGAATACTTTGAGGTGAAAAAGTAAACAACCACTGCATATGTGTCAATTGTTTTTTTTTATTGTTTTGGTGGTGTGGCTGAAATATAATTTTAAGAAAGTTATCCTTTTCCCATTTTATTTCAAATATGTAATAGAACCTGAAAGTACGCCATTGTGTCTTTGAGCTTCCTGACCCCTCCGTGACCTTTCTATGGGGCTTTTACACGGGATTGCCCTTTCTCTAGCTATAATGTTTGACAGAATGATTTCTAATCGTAATCACCCGAGAAACACTCATGTTGGAATTTTATCTTGGCAAGATGGGAAATCTTTGGAGATTGTTATAAGAATTGTACTTAGGCCTACTACCTTCACATCCGGATTTTCGTAGCTACGTCCCTTTGTCCGATCAGGTTTACATTCACATTGCGTACTAGCGTGAGAACAAAATTGATAACAACGCCAAGATTTACCTACCTCCATCCGATGGATCTTAGATTGCTTGAATCATATTTGAATACCGTTCTAATCGACGGTCGTTTTAGATTTGTATGTAAATGAGAATTATTCTTTCAAAGCAATTTTTTTTAAATATAGGTCCCAAAAGACATTTTAGTCCCCTACCTAAGTTAAAGTTTTTACCCAATGACCGCCACAAAAACATTTCATAAATGTTTATCTTTGTACAAGTGAACCGAGTTCCACTAGTCCACATGTATTTTAGATTTTCGGAAGTAAGAGGTCAATGCTTTTGGCACGATATTTCTCTTTCACGTCATGCGATTGTTCAGTTTCCATAAATTGAGATGCTATAGTAACAGTTTTCCCACGGGTGATGTTCTTAAGAAATCAATGTACCAAAAATAATTTTAAACACTCCGACTTTTACACGCAATTGTGCCTCTTAAATTCTGTTGCGCCTGCGTCTGCCCCTTATCTAAAAGGAAAATTGAGATCAGAGGTGAAGCATGACATGCTGTAGAATAATAATTACAATACACTCCTCTTGCTGTAATTAGAATTCGGTCATGAAAACGTGGCATTTGGAAGATTAAACGTGATAAATAAAGGCAATAAGAGTGTACAAACTTCATTGACCACGCTCAGGTCATCACATTTTAGGAACAATAACTTATTTGCGTACCTTATGAAAACGTCAACACAATTCCAAGAGGCATGTCAAGTCAGAAAACATTATATCATGATTGGGTTGCATTTAAAAGTAATTAGGCCCCATTAAGGGACACAAAATATGGTCAAAGCTGTTACATCAATGAAAAATAATTTGAGTTTCGTGACAAAACCATTATTATGTTTGTGCACAACCATCTGTTGACTTGTCTAGACACGCCAAGTTCGGCTTACGTGTTTTGCTTCAAGTTAAAATTGTATCTTTGTAACTGTTTTGCAGTCACTTATTTTTGTCTGTTTCTACTGTACTAACTCTCTGCTATCCTTTTCAAGGAGACATCCATCATCAAATGTATTGCTTTTTCGTGGTTTTCATTTTGTAAGTTATGCTTCCAATATTATGTCGAAGTCTACAAGGATTATTTTATTCCCGTCAAAAATACACTTATTCAGTGCAGGGGAACATCAAATCTTGACACATTTGGAACAACTAAAACTCTGTTATTAATTGTTTGCAAATTTGAAATCTTAATACTCTGTCCACGGTGTTTGCTTTGTTGATTTAGCAGAACATTTTTAACATAACCAATTGCCTTTTAGTCTTTGCACCGACTATCTCAGTTAATTCGGACAAAAAGCAAGGCTAAAGTTACATGTAAAATACATGGATATATTCATGTAGATTTTTAAGCCGTTTTTGTGAAGTTTCTTTCAAGCGGCTGCGGCTGTTACTCCGCATTTACACTGAATCCGGCAAAGGGGACTCAACGTTACTTTCCTCCTAGCCAATGCCGATTTACCTGTTTGTATTGACATATTCATATGTCGATGCCAATTAATTGGTTAGAAATTCCCTACCGCAAAGGTTAAGGTTACGTAACACTTTATTTTTAATGAAACTACATGCACACAGACATGTTCACATTGGTGGGCAAAATCATTCAAAATTAATTTCTCCCGTTCGGAAGACCGTATCTTTATGCACCTTTTAGGGTTCATGTCATACTGATCCTTATTATGTGCTAAAAATCGTTGTGATATGATTACTTTTTGTTGATATTAGGCCTGTCTAAGTGCATTTTTGAAAGTTGTAACACATGGCGTTTGTATTATCTGCCAATCTTTTCAGGCCTCACGAATATTATTAAGCTTACTATATATGCATTTTGGTGTGCAGTAACAATTTGAAGAAAAGCCTCCTTCACGAGTTTACCCCGAGTTATTAATTGATAAATATAACCCTTTTAGCCGGCTTCCATTGGTCAATACCGAGACCCACTCCGAGTGACGCTAATGAATATGCTAAAATGCGCCTCGTCATTGTGTTGTCAGGCCGAAATCGGTCAACCATAGTGTCTACGGGGCTTTAGGATCGTTGCCGAAAAGCACGCACTTGGGTTTGGTCGGCAACAATCCTCCTCGAAATTTTCTTTGGAGATAGTTCTCAAGGTAATATCAGCGTTTGCAACAACAGATTAAGCTGAAATTCTGAATAAAGATGATATAACAGTCCAACTACTCTTGAAATAACAACTTGATGAAATTCCTGGAAATTAAGATAAATACATAGATTTGGGGACGCTTTCGAACGATTTCTTCCCGACTTGAATGCCATCTTCACTAGTAACCACTATAGGGGTTTCGGCATAGATGACGGCGATTTTTGTCACTAACATGAAGTTTAAAATTTCTTCTTCCGTTAAAATGAACATTCCAATCATACTGAACATAATAAGAAACAAAACGTTCAAAAGGCAATGTTTTGGGGAGTGCGTGAATTGCACGGCTCTGTTATAGTGTCGTAATCGGACTAGCTTTGCTGATCAACTGGCCACGCTTCGCCTTTGCAACCACACGGCTGTACAGACAGACTCATTGGTAGTATTGCGCATGCCTCATCGAAGATAATTAGGAGGTGACCGGTCACTTGAGAGGGTCTAATCAATACAAGGGTACATGAGTCAGCTTCCCTAGAGCCTGGTTTTCATATGGCACCAGCAAAATATGCGGCTATAAAAGAGCACTTAAACTGTGTTGGCTTGTCACTGTTGGTTCTTCTAAGTAAGCGATATCACTACAACTGAACACTAATCTAGTTTAGAAAGATCGCTGTCTGCAGCAACACAGTCAGTACAATCGCTCAAGACTTCAAGTCACACAACTCAAGACAATATCTTACAAGGTATGTTTTTGGAATGATTACACGTTTCTTTTCTGATGTTCGCATTGCAGTCTGTGAACGGAAGACAATCGTGAAATTTAAGCGCGATCCTGTCTAAAGTGAACTGCCAGTAAATTTGAAAATGTAATGTCATCATTTCACATTACTATTACTAGACGAGTTATAATAGAAAAATGCTACTCTGTACGAAGTATTAGAACAGAATATGAGATTAGGCACAGGAGAACGATATGGTTTATTAGTATTGATTGTGAGAGCTTATAATCTCAGGCTCGTCCAGCTCGAGAAAGTGACAGTTTACTGAGGAGAACTAAAAACAAATGTCTCAAGACACCGAGCATTAGATGGGCAAAGGGGGCAGGACTGAGCTCCAGTCGGGGGCATGCATTCCTTAATTGCCTTGAATATTATCTTCTTACCATCACCAATAAGTCATTAACAAAAATAAGAGGGGGAAATACTAGTTAAACACAATGTTTACAATGTTGTTAATTTATGATTCTTTTCTTCCAGATGAAAACATTCGTCGTGTTTCTGGGTATCTGCTCCTTGAGTTTCTTTGAGATCGGCGCTTTAGAGCTACCGACTTGCCCAACGCCATCGGACTCTGGTAAGTAAGCCTTGCATTCTCGGTCACACCAAATGTCAAGACACGTCTATTTAACGCAACTTGTATATCTGTGCTACTGTATGGAAGCGAAGCATGGATAGTGGATAGCAGCATGGAGAAAAAGATCAATGCCTTTGCTACCTCATGCTACCGCATCATGCTGGGCGTTAAACGGACGGACAGGGTCCCGAATAGTGTCATCCTCAACACAGTCAAAGCCAAACCACTCATCAACAAGGTGCATCGCAGGCAGTTGAACTACTTAGGTCACACCTTGCGCATGAACCAGACAGAACCTGCACATACATGTATATATGCACTGTACACAACCAAGGAGGGAAAGAGACGACCAGGGCGGCAACGCACCTCCTATTTACAGTATGTGCAGTCATGGGCGTCAATCCTGGGGGGGGGGGGGGGGCGGTGGACACGTCCCCCCCCCCCACAACACTTTTTGAAGGGAGGGGGACACAATATCAAATGTCCCCCCCCCCCCGATTTTTTAACTCGTGTTCCATTTACAGGGCCCTATTATGTACTTCAATGTATCTTTTGCTTAAAAAATATTGGTTAAATTGGTCAGAAATTGCCTCAGATAGCACCACAGCGCATTTAGAATCCAGAATTGTAGCTCAGAATTCTGGTAGCCAATTCAATGACTCCAACCTCGAAAACGATGTTCAAATAATTAACTTTTGCTACGAAAATATTAGTCAAAGCATGGAGAAAAGTGGTAAGAAATCGCTTCAGATCACACCACAGAGCATCTAGAATCCAATTTATTTCGGGGCCCTTAAGCGGGTCCCGAACCCCACGCCAAACGTTTTTGGCAAACATTTTATCACATGTCTGTACTAAAATTTGTTTCCGCGGTAGGCATTTGCTGATTTGTATTTGCCTATATAAAAGGAAACACAAACATTTTTATTTTCTCGTTATACTGTTGACCATACTTTTGTTTCAACAGACCTTTTTTAACTTTTCAGTTGAAATGGTCCATATATTTAACAAAAGATTGAAATGAAGAAAATTCACAATCCCAGTCCTGTGCTTACAGAATAACCGACTGGTTTTTATTTGGTGTGTGTGCTGAAATTGGCCGGGAAAAGTGCATTTAAATTCGGGGAATTATAAACAGTTACGGTCGAACATTGCCATTTCGTTGCGAATATGATATCAGAAAGGTTTAAATTTTAGACATTTGCAAACTAATTCGAGACAAAATTAGCAACATCCAAAATATTCGCAGACATTTGTGACTTTTCAAATTGCTGATTTTACGGTAGACGTAGAACGTTAGCTGAATAAATGACATGTAATTATCAGTTGCGCGGCCAAGACCACTGTAACATATTGAATTCGGGGGTCTGAGAGATAAAACCATTAAAAGGCCGGGATGAAACTCGGATTGAACTTCTAGTAGTAATTGCTCGATCCTTTTCCGATCTACAGGTGTTTCTGTATGCCAAACATCTGCTAAATACCCTAGTGCATGTCTGGATGATGCCAGAGAGGCATGCAGGGAGGATGGCCACCATCTTTGCAGTTTGGACGAGCTAAAGGCTGCCTTTGACAGTGGAGTAAGGAGTACAAACTGGAATCTGTTGGACGTCCGGGATAGGGATGCACGGATACATGTTTGTCAGGTTGGTTCCGGTAAACGTTACGACGGTGACGAGTGCTTTGTGAAAGTTGGTCCTTATGCTACTTGGCACATTCCGAACACCCCAAGACCTTACACCAATGCAAATGCTTTCTGCTGTAAGAATGATCCCGCTACCTTCACATATCACGATGTAAAGATAACAATAGAAATTATCTAAACCGGTTCCAAAAGCGCAGCTTTACATCATTTACAAGAGAGCCATCTTGGATTTTCGTGCTTTTCGAGTAGACTTAATAACTTTAAAAAAAAAAAAAAAAAGAGAACACGCCTTCAGGAGGTCTGATGCATGCAAAATGGTGTGTAGCATTGTACGTTGACACGTGTTATTAACAACAGCCATCTGGTTTACGAATTTCAAATTGTCAGAAATAAATAGATTAGTATCTCCTCATTCTCTTATGGAGTATAGCATATTGTCGCCACACCGGGACAGCAGTCCCTGCCTGCTAGGTCAGATCAAAGAAAATGATACAGGTGTTGTGTTCATGACTGATATAGAACACCATTGAAAGACCGCCAATAGTAGGGCTCGATTGGTAAATTGCTGGAGCGCCGGCTCGGCAGTCTTGTTTGTTGATCAATTTCATATCGATTAAACGTTTTCACTAGTAGTTTCAAAATTGTGTTTGTTTGTTTCATGCATGTACCTATCGAAACTATAGGCAAGCACGTATTTGTTAGGATAGTAAGGAGGATTGTGATACGACCATTGTTATTGATTACTGATAAATATGACCTTTGCAGTAGAAACAAAGGAAATGATAGAAACACTACTGTATGCCACATAAATAGGCATTCAAAAGGTATAATCTGCAGAAACACGCCCTTGTGTATGGGCCATATAAAATTGAAAGTGACGTAAAATCTTCATTTTTGGAGCTTGAGAAGAGAAATGAAAGCCAAAATATAAAGTTAATTACCAGTCTGCTCTAATGAATCATGTTAAATTTGTGATTAAACATACCCTAATGTTTGAGGCCGCATTAAAAAAAAATGAAGCGATACTAAGAATGTGTCAATAGTCTGGCACCATCCCATTCAACAGTTCACAATTTATATAATACATTCAGGGAACACGACCAAAATGGCTTCCTCGTGAATAAGGCCCATTAACAGAGTCCCTTAGACTTTCACTCGCGGGTAAAGAAAAGGGTTGCTGTTATCATGAGACTGGATTGGACTTGACCAAGGCTACTGTACTAGTTTAACTTTTGATGGGTAAATATTGTTTAGGTTGAGGTTTTGATTTTAAGCATATTGATCATTTATTGGTATTTGGGTCTTTGCTTTTGATAAGATGACACCATTGTCCCGAGGCTTTGCTGCTCTCTAGTGCTGGGTGCTAAAGGGTTTGTCTCCTTTTGGTCGCTGTTCATGCTATTGCCCGAAACTGGGGTTTTTTCACAGTGATCAAATGATTCACGGCAACTGCTGCCCGGAAAGAAATATAACTAGCCATTTCACAAACCCAGGCATCCAGCCGTCAAACGATATTGACGAGAAATGTAGGCCGAGTTTATGAAAAGGGTAAAACAGCGGACAGCAAGAAGGAATTTACGAATAACTATCATCGATTATCTTTGTTTCGCAACATTTGCTGTACTAAATTATAGAAATAAGTCGAAGATACGCTTTCGAATTAATAAGGTTGATGGAGACTTACCATAGAAGTATTTACAATACATTAACAATAGCTGCCATGTAAGCGACAATGTAGATTAACATTGTGTTCACATGAAAGCTGTGCTGATTATGTTGAGTGTAATTCTATTGCATATGCACTTCTTTATTCATTTACAATCAAACTTGTTAATGTACAACAACCTACTCGTAGTATCACTTTCTAATACCGCTTATGCATTGTACTTCTGATTGCATATCATTGATTTATTATAGTGCGTATATCTCAAGTGGTGGTGGCTCAGTTGGATCAAATCCATTATCTAAAGTTTAATAAGTATACCTATTGGAAGTGATTCTGAATTGAAGGTCTAAAAGTAGTGGAAGGTCTGCATGAAGCTATGAACTTTTATTCATTTACTTTCCCAAACTATTCGTTTGAATTTGATTAAAATATAATTATATGGCATGAAGATGAAGTGTCTTTGGTGTTTGTCATTGTATACGTGGATTTCTACGTGTTTACAATGGAAAAAAAAATGGGGTTTAAAATTTGAACAGAAAACCCCTTAACTGAACAATGCCCTCCTAAAATGACATCACAGCAACATCGCCCTTAGTTGTCACGAAAAGCATCGCAAATGGTAAATATTTAAAGAAATGCGTTTTCTATAACAGTAAGGTAAAGGAATGTAAAATAGTTTTCATACATTACGACAGGATAAGAAAGTTGTACAAAATGTGTTCCTCGGTCAAATTCATGCCATTGTCCCTTAGGCACCGGTTCATACAATGTCATTACACAGTGGTTTAAGACCCAGACATTTCACCCGATATTTTTTCTCCAGTTTTTGTTTATGCTTTTACCTGACATGTCTAAAGATATGATTCAAATCACACACAAAAATTTGGTGAAATTTACTTCGAAATAGACATTTTTTAAAGGCCTCTTTATTTAATCATGACAGATTTTAATTTGGCTACTTGAGATTTAAAGAGTTGCTGTGCCCAGGACCTTAACTTGTTGTTTTCTGAAACCTTTTTTTTTCTGAAGCTATTAACAAAACCAAAACTTTAACACATTTTTTTCAATCGGCCACCAACGGCCAGGGTATTTTGCACTTTTTCCTTCATAAATTGTTAGACAGACTATCAGGCTACAAAAATAAAATAGCCCAAAAATCCACCAAAATCTTCTTCATTCCGAAAAAAACGATCATTTTCGCCGGCCTGGTGATCGGAACGCAGCGGCTGAGCAAGAAAAACAGCGCCCTCTGTTGACAAGCCATGAAGAGGGGAATCCTCTTTCGAATCCGACTGCACATGACACATATACATCGATCTCACATTTTACTAAGTGTCCTTGGCATGAAATAAAGATGCACATTTCGCACAGGCAGGTTCTTTGTAGGGTTTTGATGTCGTGTTTTGACATATTCCCCTGCGTCGCACACAATGATCAATTTTATTTCCAAATTTTGGAGTGATAACAATGATTAAAAATTACGCTACATTCCTTCGAAAATGAACAATCTCCAGTAAATTAATTATGTCCCATTTGTGTAGATTGAATAAAAGCATAGGTAAGTCTTACTTATAATCTCACAAAATAGTGCAGTGAACGTACGTTGTCCTAGATCCGCAGAGTTTTGACCCGAAAAAATAGTTGTCACACTGTACACTATTGATCAACAGAGGGCGCTACTCCCCAACATGCCGCAATGGCGAGTAAAACTCCCAAATAGCAAAATCTGCATCGTTTTGACAAAGATGCACGTACTAATGAATTTGGAACATATTTTTCATGGTAAATGATTCCATTTGAATCGATTTTCAATGATATTTTTGATGATGATTCAAGAATATCGATGATGTCTGGTAATGTCAAACCAATGTTGGGTAAATTTATATTGCCCAACAGTGTTTTTAACCATATTTTTTTATCTCATGTCAAGAGCTATAGCGAAAACACAAACTTGCTATTAACAGTTCTAGCCCCAACACTGCCAACACGGACACATAGGGCTTATATTTGGTTAATCTTCACAAGCAAAGTGGGCCCATCTTGGGATGAACAAGGTCAATATTTGCCCAATATTACCCAATGTTGAGCCACGTACGTTTTGCTCATTGACACAATATTGGTCCTATTATTGGCAATAATATCAACATGACATTGAATGAACATTGGCAAGAGTCAGCCAATGTTAATGTTCAGCCAATGTTTTGCCGCTGTTGCCACTATTGCCAGTATAGGACCAATTTTGTAACACAAAATGTACGTGGGCGTGTCACGATGCATTAAATTCACCAACAGCATATACACCTTCATGGGGTCTACCCGATGTAGAGGGGAACATCGGTATGGGGAATATCGGGTAGATCCCGTTTAGATAATGGTAATGAAGAAACTGTACAAAAATTAGCCATACTGTGTATCAACATCAACAAAATACAAACAAAACTGTTCGCGTTTCTTACTCTTCTAGATGTGTCATCGAATCCACTGGAAATATATTGAAAAAAATAATTGATTAGCCTAATTATGAAAATATAAACAACATTACAGTAAAACATTCTATGTTTGCATTTGAAAGTAATTAGGCCTCTAAAAGGGACACATAATATGGTCGCAGCTGTTACATTAGTTGAAAGTTACTGAGTTTCGTGACATGACAATATGATAGTTGTTTTGTAACGTAACAATATCATTTTGTAAAGTAACAGGATCACTTCAAAGCCGCTATACAGAGAATTAACGTTTCTGCACGGCCATCTGTTGACTTTGTCCAGACACGCCAAGTTTGCATTAGGTATTTTGTTTCAAGTTTTATTTTCATCTTTGCAATTTTTTTTTGCAGTCACTTGTAATTGTCTGTTTCTACTGTCAATTTTTTCTGCTGTCTTTAGAAGATAGATATCCAGAATTTAAGGTACTGACAGGGTTTTTTTAGGTGGATTTTCAAGTTTTAGATAAATTTTCCAAGATTATGTAGAAGTCTATATATTCTTGTCGAAACACACTTATTCAGTTGAGGTGAATAATTTTGAACAATTAAAACTCTGCAATTAGTTGTTTGCAAATTTGATATCTTAAAAGTCTGTAAACGGTGTTTGCAGAAAATGTTTAGCTCAACCAATTGCCTTTGTAGTTCTTGCACCGACTATCCTAATTCATTCCGACAAAAAGCAAGGCTATACTTGCACAACAAAGCCTTTCATCATTAGGAAGACTACGTGTATAAATTCATGTAGATTTATAAGCCATTGTGCGTAGTTACTTTCAAGTGACCGCGGCCGCAACTAGATCGACCTGGACGATGACACACTGGCCTGGCTCGCCTCGACAGAGCTGCAAGTCTAAGGACATACGACGAAAGAAGAAGTGGTTGATAGTGGTTCGTCGTGATAACGCCCTTTCGTGGTGGCGGGTTATCCCTGAGGCGGGTAATTGCGTATCTCAAACAACGTCTTGCCTCAAGGCTACTTTGATTTAAGCAACTGTATCCCCTGGTGCCAAGTGTGTTTTTGCTGTTTCAAGTGCTAATACAGTCTGCATAAAAAAACTATAATGGAAACTATGCCAGCAGAAAATCGTGTGCTTAGCAGAGATTGGGCCCTGATTAATAGCGCCATGTGTAAACCACGTTGTACACCCCATGATGTAATCCTAACCGCTAACATTTGTCAACACATGATACTGTTAGTCTCGACAACCTGGATTTAAATTGCCCTTGAAACAAACAGTTGGTCACTTTTTGTAGCCAACCCTAGTGAAGAAAGCACTATATTTTAATTTGTATACAAACTTGAATCTTTCCTTTTTTAACTTGGTAAAAGTGTCCTGTACCATTTGACGGTCGGGGTTTGGTTTGTGACGTGATGAACACCTGCGCACTATACTAATAGCACGCGCTAGTTAAATGATCAAATTAAGTTTTTGCTCTTCACAGACGTATAAACACTGTATACTCAGTGTGTTACCTCCAGGGTGAAAGTTGGACAAAATCACTCGGGTGGGACTCAAACCCACGACCTCCTGCTTTCTAGTGCCGACGTCTTACCACTCGACCACAAAGCTAACGGGATCGCTTGGCTGGTTCGAATCTGATGTACATAGCAGCAGGTACCGCATTAACCTTCTTTACCTACGCACTTCTTAACATCACTTTAGTCTAATGATGCTAATAAGTCCTGACTCCCCGTTGTTGTTTATGATGCCCCCAGCTATTGGTAACCAGCGATGCAACTGTGCCCATACTTCGGCTCCAAGTAGTCGATAGAGTAGTCGAACCATCATTCGTTTGAGCGAAAAAAATAGTCGAACTATGGTTACCTAAAGTTGGCGCCCGAATGAGCTCAAAGTCGACGGTTTTTTTTACTCATGTCGATATTTCACCATGTCACATGCGACGTTTATTAAAGATAAAGTATACCATTTGTTATATGTGAATTTTTTTTTCGTTTGAAGTAATAAAAGTGTTGAAAAATAAAGAAGGGTGCTTAACAACTTTAGTGAATGCTGTATATTCTGAGAAAAAAATTCTAAGATCTTGATATCAATTTTAGAGTTGCCGAGTCATGTTTTGAATATGCGCCCACAATCAGGGTCTGGGACACGTTCTCACTCAGCCGATTGCAGGTCTACGCAATGTCACGCACCGAACATACGAATATAGCCCGGTTCATACTTAATGCGAATGCGAATTTGACGTCATGAAACGTTCGCTGCGAAATTCGCCCACGTTGAAAGATCTGCTAAATGTATGCAAACAATTTGACATCCCTGTTTGGTTATTTTGTAGTATATAATTATGTGCACTTCTTTAAACAAGTGTTCCATGCTTTTCCTGATAACTGAGGGCGCTGATGCTGTGATGATATTATTTTTTTGAGGAAGACCCAGTTTAGTTAAGAGGTTTCTGGAAACACTTGCCAAAAACATGTTCTTGCTGTATTGCCGTGATGTAGTGAAGTAGCAAGGTATCGTCAAAGAAAAAGATTCACGACAGAAACATATTCAAAATTCTGGCATCCCTTGGTGCTGAAATAGCTGTAACATTGAGGTTTCTACTTAAAATGACGTCCCAATTTTGCTCATGAATATGGAAATTGAATAAGCATAAAACCAAAGAGGCAACGAAATACCCAAAACAATGGCAAAACGAATATTGAAAAAAAGTTCAACCTGCAAAAAGGTGCATTTTCAAGGATTACATTAAAAATGTTACATTGCATAGGCGTGGCCTCACGCGATCTATAACATTTCTAGTTGCATTTTCGTGCGACGGTAGGAATTCCATCTCCTTACCACATGAGCTCACGAGATATTTTGTCATAAGTTTTGAAACTTTATTTTAAGAAGGTGGCATCAATAGCAGTAAAACTGCAATACTGGCATGGAAAAAGCTGATTAAACAAACAAAACGGGTAAATAGGAGTATTAAATAACAATGATAATTAAACATACCTTTTTGTCGTGTTTTGTATGTTTGTTTTTGGTTTGGTTTGGTTTGATTTGTTTGGTCTAGTATGGTCTGGTCCGGTCAGGTCAGGCCAGGTCTGGTCTGGTTTTGTCTGGTCGGTTCTGGTTTGGTCTGGCTTAATTTGGTTTGGGTGGCAATTCTCTTCAATGATCCAGGCTTTGCAAAGGTGTCAAGTACTTATAATCAGGATTAAGACACAGGGTTCTTTGTGTTAAATACGATTTAAACAACACCCTAGCAAACAATATACATGTTTTTTCTCACCGTAAGCATATATTAGTACTGGGCGAGTGGAAAAGAAAGAGTCCGAATTAGAAAACACAAATATTTTGTAAAATATGTTGCTCGCTCCATTTTCTAAAAATTACAGCGGGAAAATTACATTCTATTGCACACTCCATTTCCAGGTCTGGTTAATTTTAATGAAACAAGATCACAGACTTCATCTGTATACCACTGATCATTTACCGTTCTACGAACTGATGAATCTGTTAGTATACACAATGAAACACGGACGTTTTCCCACCTCCATGAATGAACGAAAATTTGCAAAAGAAAATAATGATACAAAAGTCGCCATCAATATTTCGTGCGTGCACTTATTGTCATTAAAGGAAACAATAATTAATTCAAAATAAGAATCACTTCCAATTATTTGTTTAAACAATGGTAGAGTGATCTAGCTTAGTCACCACCATTTGAACTATATGTACTTTAAAACAACGATTTGCAAATAAAAGCTTAATTGAGCTATGTGAGAAAGTACTCTGGTAGTGTAGATTAACAACTTTTTTCAGTGAATGCAATTTGCAATTGAAATACACCAATATAATCAGCACAGTTTCCAAAAAACAAGTTATTATAAATTGTCGCTTGCATCGCCCATCTCGTGGTGCATTATATAAATCAACAGCCATACACCTGTATCACATTTACGACAGTATACTCCATGAAGGTACGGGGGGGAACTGAACCATGTATTTTTGAAATTCGTAAACCAAGGTGTGTTTTTCTAGTCTGCTCGTGCGTGTCCCTGTGGGGAAAAGCGTGCACATCCAAGATTGCTATGTTTTATTAAAGGATGCGTAGCCGCGCTTTTGACACCTTTTTAGATTTTTTCTATTGTAATCTTTACTTGGTATGTAGCAGTAGAAGAATCATTCTTATCATTCTTATCATTCTTACAACAAAAAGCATGTTCATTGGTGGCAGGTCGTGGGGTGTTAGCAATGTGCCACGTGTCTTCAGGCCCTACTTTCACAAAGCATTCGTCACCCTCGTAACGAGAAAACGGAGGAATCTCACATTTATGTATCTGTGCATCTCTGTGACTGACGTCCAACAGACCCCAGTGTGTACTCCTGACTCCACTGTCGTAGGCAGCCGCGAGGTCCTCCAAACTGCACAGACGGTAACCATACTCCTTACAGGCCTCCCTGGCACCATCCAGACAGGCACTAGTGTACACAGCAGATGTTCGGCAAACAGAAGCACCTGTGGATCAGAAAATAATTGATTAATCAGTAGAAGTTCACTCCGAGTTTCATCCCAGCCTTTCAATGGTCTTGTCATCTCTCAGACGCTCAATATTCAACTAAGCTGCAATTGTCTGGCAGCGCAGCTGCTTATCATTTCTTAGCTATTGTTTTACGTCTACCAAAATAATCAGCAATGTAAAGGAACGTTAAACGTCACAAAAGTCTGGGAATATGTGTGATGTTGCAAATGTGTTAAGTATCAAATTGCAAATTTGCTAATGTCGTATTTGCAACGATATAGCGAAGTTTGTATTTATTTTTTTCGAATTTCAATATTAAATTTTTTTTCTGTGTACGTGATTTCCAAGCGACCATTGCCCTATACACGAATAACAATTGTGTAATAATTATGTACTTACAAAAAAAATGCATTGAGACAGGCTTCAATTGTGTGTGGCTATTTCAAAACTGAGCAGACAATCCCCCGGTACTCTGTGATATTTGATGTCTCTACGAGAAAATAGCAAATGCCATGTTGTTCATAATGCCTAGATGATTAGGCCAACTTACCAGAGTTCGACGACGCCGGGCATGTCGGTAGCTCTAAAGCACTGATCGCTAAGAAACTCAAAGAGCAGATAACCAGGCACGCGACGAATGTTTTCATCTGGACAGAACAAAACACCATTTAACAAAATTGTAAACATTGTTAATAGCTATTTTATTTAGAGATGATGTCAAGAAAATAATTTACAGGGCAATTTTGCGCTAGCAGCGACGTAGTTAAGGAAGGCATGCCCCTAACACGAGATAGCTCAGTCCTGTACACCGTGCCACTTCGACGCACATTGATTTCAGAAGAAAACAAGTCAGGTGTGTTTACAAACACAAATGCCCCGCAACGGTGACAGTTCCCATGACATAACACCACTCTTTTAACATCAACTTACATGTACCTTGGTCACATGGAACATTCATTGACAGCATTAGTGTCTTCTGTAGGTTTTATATGAATTAATCCCTAATCCCCATAATCTCAGAATAAATACATGATTTCTATTGTTTTAGCCACTGTGAACTTGACCCTTGACCTTTTGGCCCCAAATTCAACAGGCTTCTTAGGATTACCAAGAACAATCCACAAACCAAATTTGAAGTTCATATGTTAAGTATTTCTCAAGTTATCGCGCTGACAAGATTTCTATTGTTTTAGCCACTGTGAACTTGACCCTTGACCTTTTGGCCCCGAATGCAATAGGCTTCTTAGGATTGCCAAGAACAATCCACAAACCAAATTTGAAGTTCACATGTAAAGTATTTCTCAAGTTATCGCGCTGACAAGATTTCTATTGTTTTAGCCACTGTGAACTTGACCTTCGGCCTTTTGGCCCCAAATGCAAAAGGCTTCTTAGGATTGCCCAAAACAATCCACAAACCAAATTTGAAGTTCACATGTAAAGTATTTCTCAAGTTATCGCGCTGACAAGATTTCTATTGTTTTAGCCACTGTGAACTTGACCTTTGGCCTTTTGGCCCCAAATGCAAAAGGCTTCTTAGGATTACCAAGAACAATCCACAAACCAAATTTGAAGTTCATATGTTAATTATTTCTCAAGTTATCGCGCTGACAAGATTTCTATTGTTTTAGCCACTGTGAACTTGACCTTTGGCCTTTTGGCCCCAAATGCAAAAGGCTTCTTAGGATTACCAAAAACAATCCACAAACCAAATTTGAAGTTCATATGTTAAGTATTTCTCAAGTTATCGCGCTGACAAGATTTCTATTGTTTTAGCCACTGTGAACTTGACCTTTGGCCTTTTGGCCCCAAATGCAAAAGGCTTCTTAGGATTACCTAGAACAATCCACAAACCAAATTTGAAGTTCATATGTTAAGTATTTCTCAAGTTATCGCGCTGACAAGATTTGTCCGGACACACACACACACACACCCACACACAGACTTGTTTCACATACCTAGTGTGGACTTTCCTTTCTTTTCGTGTAGTTAAGGAACACCAGTGGAAAAACTCATTTTTCTCAAACTGTGAAAACTCTTACAACCCAATTTTTTTTCAATGATTCCCTTTAGTGTTTCTCTTCATTCTGCTACAGATAAACCTAACCCAAAAATGCCTCTAAACCTGTTTTCCAGAAATGGGGAAACACTGTGTGGACGTGGGCAAGTCCACACTTCGTCGCTGCTACCTACATTATGTGGACGTCTTTTGTTCGGAAGTCCACACTGCGTATGTAAGACAAGCTCACCCCACCCACCCACACCGTCGTTTTTTGCTATGCTTCCGAGGATTGGCTTTGTGTTTTCCTTTGTCCCTGTAATATAACACTCTCCCATAGACTAAGCACACAAACCTGCGTTCGAGGACAATAGGCACCTTCCTTCGAGGATCAATGGCCCCTTTGTGCTCCTTTTGTTGTCTGTCCTCAGGCGTAATGCCATGCAGGAACACCCACACACCCACCCACACACCCACCCACCCACGGAAGGACAAGGCGGAAACAGTATGCCCCTTCGGCTTCGCCGCGGGGCATAAAAAATAACTGAGTTCTCTAAAAGAAACTGTCACTCTCTTGAGCTGGAAGAGACACAATCAGATGTACGAGCTCTCACAAGCAATGGTTATAAAACACAAGTATCGTTCTTCTGTATCTCCCAAATTGCTTTCGTACTTTGTACAGCGTAGTATTTCGTATTACATGGTGTATAAAAAAAGGCAAACAAATTATAACGGAATGCCAGACGTAGAACGTGTAACCAACACAAAAAATATAGGTATGTTTGAATGATGAGCCTTTCCACTTGAAAATGAGACATCTAACGTCCAAATCTGATAATTTTTGACAGAGTTATGAATACATTTGCAAGAGAGGTCAAATTGACCATGGCACAAAGTTTCCAGTTTTAGGTATTGGGACAAAGGGAGCCTAATTGCATAATGTGGGGGTAATTGCCTGGCCTACAAAAAAATGTGTTAAGCGAGTAAACACAATTCTTAACACTTTCATGTTATCAGTTTGTAAACATGTTTACATGCTAAATATTTTAGCATGAGGTGATAGCTAGTAAGTGTTTAGAATTGTATTTACTAGCTTAACAGCATTTTCGTAAACAAGGCAATCATCCACACAGAGACAATGAGGCTACCTTTGTCCCAACGCCTAAAATTGAAAACTTGGTCACATTGTCCATTTGACCTCTCTTGGAAAATTGCTCATAACTCCGTCAAAATTTATCAAATGTGGACGTTTGATGTCTCATTTGAAAGTGAAAAAGGATATCTTTCAAACCATACCTTTATTATTTACGTTGGTTGCATATTCTACGTCCGGCCGTCTGTTATATCTTGTTTGCTTTTTTATTCATACTGTTTAACAGGTCCAATAATAATAATGTTTATGACAATCAATATTGGAATATACTTGCTGTTCATTTCAGACAGGATGGTGCATAAATCTCATGGTTGTCATCCTTTACAAAACGAAATGCGAACGTCAGATAAAAGAAATCCCATAAACATACCTTTGTAGGATAATTGTCTTGAGAGATTTCTTGACTGATTGTACAGACTGTGTTGCTGCAGGTAGCGATCGCTCTAAACTGGACGATATGGAGTTGTAGTGATATCGCTACTTTAGAAGAACCAACAGTGACGAGCCAGCACAATTTAATTGCTTTTTAACAACCACATTTATTTGTTGCCGGTGATACCAGTGCCTTATTTTGTTCTGAACAATATTAACCTTTCGGCAGAGAATTTCTAACCAATCAGCAAAGACACATTCGTGAGAGTCATTTGAATATCCAAATGTATAACAGGCAAATTGCCATTCGCAATGATCAAATGAAACGGATACGCATCTTCTCCTACAGCAATATTTTATTAAATCCCTCTGTGGTGGACTCGTGTATCGTAATTGGTCTATCGCCGTTTGCGTGTTAGCCACGCCCCTTAGACAGCCCTGGGGAGTTTTTGTACATTCAGTTTTGTTTGTATCAGATTTTCGGCGTTCCGCGTCCATTTGTGTATCATGTAATTGGACAATATTTCACAAGCTGCGTTGACGCGATTCTACCGCGATAAGTTAATTATATGCATAGCCACATAATTGTATGTCAGTCATGTCAGTTTTGGGATGGAAGGGGCATTTTTTAAACAGTGAAGGAGTTCAGGAGGTAAGGAGGAATACAATATTACCCTTAGACAAATTCTTACAAGGCGAGCCGGACCTTTTTCACGGTTATGTGGAAAGTGAGGCACGTCGCGCGCACGTCGTGGCCTCCCCGTGGCAATCTCATGGAGGAGGTGGGGGTCCCTTGCCTGGGCCTTTCGGGAGAGGGCCAGCGTAGCGGCTTCTCGCAGGAAGCTAGCTGGGGCGATACCAACCTCGTCCCCAGGGTGTCGAGCAGTACGCGCCCACCACTACCTGCTCTCTCACCCTGGTATTGGATCATTTGCATGTGCAAGATTTTTGCACACGTATGCATTTTAGGAACAGTCTGGTGCCTGGATATGCGTTACACATTAGCGTTTGTTTTTGTATGCGGTGTCTGGGGTAAAAACAGAGTCAATTCGTAGCAGCGCGAGCACGGCTTGAGTTACGAAAACACGATTTTTGAAATCAAACTGTTACGATCTTATCGAGACAACATGCAGTATCATATTTCATATTAATATGAGCAAATTGGAAAGGAAATTAGTATTTTCGAGAAGGCGTGGACGAATGATCGCGAAAACACGTCCTGCACGTTGTGAACAAGATGCACCAAGTACACGATACAAATCAATTACTAGCCAATTGCGGTATCCAATCGGGATACAGGAAGAAAGTTTCCTATCCAGGGTTTACTATTGGAAACGCGGTTGGAAATAAAGTAAGCACTGGGGACGAGGTTAGGGCGATACCTGCTTTGGCACGAAGGCGCTCCGAGATGGTCCGCATGGCGCTATTGAGGACTGTGTGTAGTCTGATTCCCAGACCAAAATGATGCTGACTATTTCCGATAAAATTACCGACTTGGCGAATACGTTTTCAGTTTTGTACGCAACATATGGGAGTATTTTGAATCGCTAGCGAATTCCGAATGCGAGCACTCGGATTGGTTCAGATTCTAGAGCGTATTCTAGGCCGCCACGGAAGATCGTTCTCATTACTTCGAGGGGTTGTACTTTGTGTTGTTTAAAATAATAATACGCATTATAGGGCATACACGACTCAAATAAATCAAGTATACCACAATGAATCATTTTATTTCAATACACTGTAAAAATGTTGGGCAAAATGGGTAGATATGTAGACTTACGTCGGTCAACATATCAATAGGTTAAGGGCAGATTCTTCCCAATAGTTGGACAAGTTTTACCCAAATAAGGTAATGTCAAACCAATGTTGGGTAAAATTATATAACAGTGTTTTTAACCATCTTTTTTTTAATCTCATGTCAAGAGCTATAGCGAAAACACAAACTTGCTATTAAAAGTTCCAGCCCCAACACAGCCAACACGGACACATAGGGCCAATATTGGGTTTAATGATCTTGAAAAAAAAAGTGGGCCCATCTTGAAATGAACAAGGTCAATATTTGCCCAAAATTACCCAATGTTGAGCCACGTACGTTTTGCTCATTGACACAATATTGGTCCTATTATTGGCAATAATATCAACATGACATTGAATGAACATTGGCAAGAGTCAGCCAATGTTAATGTTCAGCCAATGTTTTGCCGCTGTTGCCACTATTGCCAGTATAGGACCAATTTTGTAACACAAAATGTACGTGGGCGTGTCACGATGCATTAAATTCACCAACAGCATATACACCTTCATCGGGTCTACCCGATGTAGAGGGGAACATCGGTATGGGGAATATCGGGTATATAGATCCCGTTTTAGATAACGGTAATGAAGAAACTGTACAAAAATTAGCCATACTGTGTATCAACATCAACAAAATACAAACAAAACTGTTCGCCTTTCTTATTCTTCTAGATGTGTCATCGAATCCACTGGAAATATATTGAAAAAAAAATTGATTGGCCTTATTATGAAAATATAAACAAAATTACAAGAGGTATTTCAAGTCAGACAACAGTAAAACATATGTTCGCATTTGAAAGTAATTAAACCTCTATAAGGGACACAAAATATGGTCGCAGCTGTTCCATCAGTTGAAAGTTACTGAGTTGCGTGACATGACAATATGATAATTGATTTGTAACGTAACAATATCATTTTGCAAAGTAACAGGATCACTTCAAAGCCGCTATACAGAGAATTAACGTTTCTGCACGGCCATCTGTTGACTTTGTCCAGACACGCCATGTTTGCATTAGGTGTTTTGTTTCAAGTTATAATTTCATCTTTGCAATTTTTTTTGCAGCCACTTGTAACTGTCTGTTTCGACTGTCAATTCTTTCTGCTGTCTTTAGAAGAGAGACATCTAGAATTTAAGGTGCTGACAGGGTTTTTTAGTTGGACTTTCAAGTTTTAGATAAATTTTCCAAAATTGTAGAAGTCTTTATCTTCTTGTCAAAACACATTTATTCAGTTCAGATGAACAATTTTGAACAATTAAAACTCGGCAAATATGACATCTTAAAAGTTTGTAAACAGTGTTTGCAGAACATTTTTGAGCAAAAAATAGTCGAACTATGGTTACCTACAGTTGGCGCCCAAATGAGCTCAAAGTCGACGTTTCAGATTACTCATGTCGATATTTCACCATGTCACATATGACGTTTATTAAAGATAAAGTATACCATTTGTTATTCGTGCATTTTTTTTTCGTTTGAAGTAATAAAAGTGTTGAAAAAAATAAAGAAGGGTGCTTAACAACTTAAGTGATTGCTGTATATTCTAAGAAACTATTCTAAGATCTCGATATCAATTTTAGAGTTGCCGAGTCTTGTTTTGAATAAACGCCCACAATCAGGGTCCGGGGCACGTTCTCACTCACGCACCGAACATACATGGGAACTATCGGACAGTCAGCGTCTATGTTTGTGGCGGCATTTTTGCACTCCTGAAAAAAAGCGCGGGGTGGGGGGTAAAACCCCCTATTCTCCCAAAGCTACACAAAAAAAATCCAAATTTTCCGACTTTCCTGATTCCTAATCCCAACTTTTCCTTATCTTACCCAACGAATTTTGGTATTTTTACTAATTGGACCACGTGCAATCGATCTAGCCCACTTGCGACATTAACATTATGCCTCTAAATAAGAGCTAAGGCATTATGGAGACATTGAGATGGCTCCCTTATTCCACCTGTCTCCCACTGGTGCAACTTTGACGCTAAAGTGTCTCCCAAAAGGTATAATTTACGATAGTAAACAATAATATAATAATAATATAATTACAATTCTTAACATCAAGCTCAAAAAGTAATCACAGGTGAACACTCTAATCTCACTCAAAAGCAATAATGATAATCTACGAGACCCTCGTACAGCGTCCAATGAAATGTTAACTAAATATTTGGCTGATAAAAGTATTAAAATGTAAATGTGTTTAGGAGAGTAGTAGAGTTTATTTGTTACATCTAAATTTCATGATAAAACAGTTTCAGTCTTTATCCAGCGACCAAAAGAATATTATTTCACCAGAAACGATTGATATTATCAGAACTGTGCGCCAATGTAATTCAACAATCCAGGCAAAACGTTGATAAGAATAACTTGCGTCTCCAATTGTTTTACGATACATTACAAAAGTCACGTTCATGCTGTAAACGATTGGTCACAAGGAAGGAAACAACAAGTTTTGCTATCCACAATAACACCAAATTCACAAAAATCTGAGAAAACAAATAAGAACAATCAAGCAATAAGTATACATTTTCAACTATGGGATTATCATTCACCTTTTAATCGATTCGTCATTGTTATATCTCTGTCTGGAATACTGTATTTGCATTGGCAAATTGGCAGTGTTAAGTTTAAAAAAAAAGTCATGGCACACTCCCTGTGGGATATCATGTACGGTGTGAAACGTTTGTATCGTTGGTACGCAGGCTATTTTCACCATGTTTTCTCACGTGAGTGGGAGCAGCCAACTAGCAGACGATCAGCTGTTTCGAGCACACAACATGTGAGTTGACGTTCGACTTTCATCGTAATTTTTGTGTTTACTGTTGTTGGTTTTCGTTATTTGTACATCAAAATCCAAAGATTCCAAGTCAGAGGTATAACAAAACAACTCAATTCTCGGTCATCACTATAGGAGTTTTTCATGTACTTCTTTTTTGCGTTATACGATTATTACATGACTATACTAAAGTCACATTTTATTGATGTTAAATTGCAGTTGTGCACCCGGGGGGGGCCTCAGGGGGCTTGAGCCACCCCTTCCCCCCCCCCCCCAAAAAGAGGTTGTCATTTTTTTTTTTTTTTTTTTTTTTTTAGTCCCACGATTTGGTCTTGGTGATATGAATGTGGCCTGTTTTCGAGTACTTTAATAGGGGTGTAAGTGTCGCCACCAACCTCAAAATAGGTCGCCCCTTAACAAAAATACCATTTGTTTTCTGCAGCCAAAACAGAGAAATTCCCACCCAAAAAAGACAACCCCTATTTTTCCCAAAGCGGAAAAGTAGTCATCTTGAAAATCGATTTCTCCACAACATGAACGAAATAGCGCCACTTTCGAGCTCCATTGCATCCAAAATGCTCAGAATTGGAAGTCCTAAGTCTGGGCCAGAGATTCATTGCAATATGTTTTTTTCAATTCCCCAATTTTATGGCTCTCAGAACTCTCTATTATAGAATATTTTGAGGGTATAACTTTTATTCATGAGCTCGGCGGATGAATTGAGGCCTATTCACAGGTGTGCACCCTTACACGTCAATTTCCTTCAATATATTCCATTCATTCTTTGGCGGTTCCTGTCAATTTTCAATAACTGTGTTTACATCTCGAACGGCAAGACGTACGTCGGAGCGCAGTGAGCAGTGTTTGTGTAGCGCGCCCTCTTTTGTAAGAAATTGTTGCATGTCGATAAAATACGGAGTGTCCTTCATACTGCAATTTCCTTCAATTATATTACATTCATTCTTCGGCGGTTCCTGTCAAGTTTATAGAATTTCGTGTCAAATACCATGACAAAGTATTACGGGAAATTTCATTGCAATACAATGTGTATATTTTGAGTTCCCATTGTCACAATAACTGTGTTTGCATCTCGAATGGCCTGACGTCGGCGCGTGGTGAGCAGTGTCCTTCATACTGCAATTTCCTTAAATTATATTACATTCATTCTTCGGCGGTTCCTGTCAACTTTCTAGAGTTTCGTGCCAAGTACCATGGCAAAATATTACAGGAAATTTCATTGCAATACAATGTGTTTATCTTGAGTTCCCGTTTGGACAATAACTGTGTTTACATCTCGAATGGCCAGACGTCGGAGCGTGGTCAGCAGTGTATGTGTAGCGCGCCCTCTTTTGTAAGAAATTGTTGCATGAGGATAAAATACGGAGTGTCCTTCATACTGCAATTTCCTTAAGTTATATTACAATCATTCTCCAACGGTTCCTGTCATTTTCTAGAGTTTCGTGTCAAATACCATGGCAAAATATTACAGGAAATTTCATTGCAATACAATGTGCTTATTTTGAGTTCCCGTTTTTCACAATAACTGTGTTTACATCTGCGGCCAAAATTTTTGGGCAATTTAAAAAAAATAAAAATCAACTTTTAAAAAGAAATTGTAAAGAAAAACAAGGGCCCCCCCCAAAAAAAAAAAACTAAATCCTGGGTGGGCCACTGTTAAATTGGTCTTTCAGTTGATTTTCTCACAAGATTGATTTTTCTGTTACTGCCGAGATCAGTTTTCACAAAGTACCCGTCCTTAAAGATAGCGATGAATCGAGATCTCGCAAGACATACGGCCATCGAACGCACTAGCCCACCTCATACCGCGGTAGTCTTGCCCCGTGTAGTTGACGGGATAGGAATACTCCCCATTCAGGTTACTCGGCACGAGATCCTCAGTGCCTACACCTCCAGTACAAGTCTTGAACCACCAGCCTCCCTTCAGCTCAGCGGCACAATTGGCGTTCCCATCGTCATCATTGTCGTGATCGTAGGTTGAGAACAGCTGGCCTGTATGGACGTCAATTAGAGAATGACCTGGCAAACGTAAGAAAAAGAGCTTCTTTGAGTCTTGGGATACATATTGGGTGCGTCCATTTAGCTCAACCGGGTCGACACGGGTCAGCCCGATGCCGGCTCTGACGTCATTCTCGGGGCTCAACGGGTCATCCACCACAAACCCTGCTCGTGGAGCAGAGTCACTGGTGGAAGTACGTCACGCATGCGTTGTTCACTTCATTCCCTATATATAAGACTCCGGCATTGTGGCTGAAACCAGCTCACCCCGGAATTATTGTCTGCCAACCAAATATTTAAACCCTTTTAAAGTGACAATGTTATAAAAATTAAGCAAGGGCCGAGTTTTTTCTTTCGGTCGGTTTCTCATCCTAAAGTGGATAACTATTGTATTGCTAGAAAAATAGTAGCAGCTACGAAAAGGCATCTATTTTCCGGGGATGAAACTCGAAAACAGTAAGAGCGAAGAAACGTGTAGAGGTTTTTTTTCTTGTAAAATGTCCTTATTGTCCGAACAAAAATAGAATAGAACTGTTTATTTATCCCCGTAGGTCATTAAATTTTATTTATTCATTTGATAGTTGATGGCACTAACTTGCTTAACGCTTTTGTACTAAAAATACAATCATATAAATTCAAACATGTAAAAGGATGGGGTAATTGTACCCAAGAAAGGGTGCAAGCTGCAACTACCCAACATTTGGTTGTTCTATAACCAGTTGTTTTGGTTAGAACTTCTTCTAAATTCAACCAAAACTTTCTTGGTTGAATTTAACAAAATTTCTAAATTAACAATTGGTTATAGAACAACCCAATTTTGGGGAGCTGCAGTTTTCACCCTTTCTTGGGAAAAATTAACCCAGGCAATTTTTCAGTGTTGAGTCACTTAGCTTAATTGTTCACAAAATATTTAACTCTAAGTACCATTTTTGCAGAGCGGGTATTGATTGGTTTAAGCTGCATAGACTTACCCATTGAATACGAAGGGTTTATACTCGCTAAGAGTTGGTACTCATCCCCTACGATCTGGAAATCTCTCAAATAAACGGCAGCCCATGAGCCTGGATTATCCAATGAAGTCAATGCAACCTTCAGTTCCCAAGTCCCCTCTGATGTTAGCTGACGGACGATCTCGTTCCCAAGCCAGAATGAGTTCTCAAGATCACCGAAGCCGTCTCGGTACTCGGCCCAGCTACGGGTGAAATTCACGGCCGCGACGTAACGCCTCTGAATCACCTGGAACAGATCAATAATGGATCAAGAGTTTTTACAAAAACGAAGTCCTGCACGGCTGCACTTCCCATAATGGCCAGGACTGTGTGCTGTCCCATACTGACCTGGCGAAGCTGGCTTACGCTGCAATAACTAACGTGTTAAAGGCATCTGGAACTTTGGATTTTACTAGCTTGACCATTTGAAACTATAGTCCGCCTGAAATGGTATGGATCACAAGAAAACAATAACAGAAGGTGACTTTAAAAAGGGTACTCGGAATCCACTTTACGACTCCGAGACCAAAATATTGTGATAGGTTTTTTCTTTTCGTTTTCTCAAAACTAGGCACTTGGTACAGAAGTAGTATGTTAATATTGATACGATTAAGTGTAAATTGGGGGGGGGGGGGCTTTCCGGCTAGTTCTACTTCATTTGGCTTATTTAGGGTACACTCTTAATGCAGATTGGTTGAAATAACATATTGCTTGAAACAGTCAAAAATTGGTAGGTATGTGTCCAACCAATCGGATTGGGAGGACACGCCAATCCTACCATTATATTGGTTATTTCAACCAATCGGTTTTAGCTTTGAATCACATTCAGCAATATAATAAACTGGAGCTACTTACAATCCACTTTCCACTGCAGGATACATACAAGCCGCCTGGATACTGCGCTGGGTAGATGATGACCACATCTCCATCATTATCGTCATCTCTGTCTGAACAGTAAGCATATCGGGGACTTGAAGGTGTTGTCAAAGTCTCGGCATCGCCTTCAGCTTCGGTACCATTATTGTCATCTGAACCATTCAGAAGGAAATTGATTGCGTTTTAAAACACACACACTTTAACTTTGGTCTCATAATTTTAAGGTTTTCACTTTTAATGTAAAAAAAAACAAGATTGACAACATAATAACAGTTTGAAAAAAAAGAAACAGTGTATCAAACCGCATAAATGACATTACTGAATACAGTTTATCGAAAATGTGTGATAACTGTAGATTTCTAGACAGACCAAAACATGGACTACCTGGGGTGCGTTTTGGCGGTCATAACCAAGAATTGGTTCGATGGTTTCTCTTTGGTTAATTGTTTTGGGAATTTGAGTACTACATGATCATGCGTAATTCTAATCCAATTAAAATTGCATGGTGGAAAGATACTAAGACAAGATAGGTTTGCGGTAGTGATTAAACAAAGAATACACATGGCACAGAAAATGAGGCCACTGTGGTAAAAATATATATCGTTTCATGTCCATATGTATTGTCTATGAGGTCATATAGGATAAGTGACGTCATCGCCGCCGCCTTTATTAAATCTTTTTAGAGTTTATTCTATCTATAATTAGATTGCTAACAAGAAATCGGATGGACCTCCACGGCGACGAGAAGGAGGGCACGCGCGCGCAACTTGGGGAGCTCCTCTAAGGAGGAGGAGAGGATGGTGGCGGCGGTGGCGGTGTCTGCACATGCGCAGACACCGCCACCGCCGCCACAACCAACTTGATCCTAAACTTGATCCTCACAGATCCTCAAGTTGATCCTTAACGGGGGTTCATTTACCCCACACATACTACTGAGACCTGAAACAGAATTGTCTATTACCTCAATCAACAATGATCATAATTTATTTTATAATAATCAATAAATGTACAGTAATTGGAATTAATAGGCGTGGTTAATATATTGGGCCCTTAACTATTGGAGAGATGAGCCAAGCCTACTGCACGCAGCAGCAATGCCCAACATCATCCAAAATGCACAACAATGTCAGCAATGCACCGCAATAACTATCATGCGCCCAAACCAGCCATATGGTACGTCAATACCGATTACTTGTATAGCTGTTCTTCAAGTCTGGAAGAAACCGTTCGAAACCTTCCCCAAATCTATGTATTTATATCGATTTCTAGGAATCTACTCAAGTTATTATTTCACGAGTATTTAGACACATTAACATCTAAGTATATATCGAATTTCAGCTTAATCTGTTGTTGCAAACGCTAGTGTTACACCTTGAACTATCTCCATGGAAAATTTCGACGAGGATTTTCTGCCGGCCAAACCCAAGTGCTTTGTTCAGCAAAGCGCCTAAGTTAGGCGGTACGGTTGACCGATTTCGGTCAAGCAGCACAATAGCGTATGGTAGATTATCATATCCATTAGCGTCATCGGCGTATTTCGCGTCGGTCTCGGTATCGACCAGTGGCAGCCGGCAAAAAGGGATATATTTAACAATTAATAACTCGTAAAGGATGGTTTTATGCAATTATCTACTGCACACCATAATGGATAGGAACTTCATTGATATTCGTGAGGCGTGAACAGATTGATAGATATTGCAAACGCCAGTGTTACAATTATCAAAACTGCACGTACGCAGGCCCATTTTCTAGTTTCAACGAAAAGTATAACCTTATTCCTCCATGGTATAACATATCACAACGATTTTTAGCACAGATCATTATAAGGGAAATAAACCCCGATACATGTAGTTGCACTTGCATGAAGACTCAGTCTTCCGAACGGGAGAAATAATTTTCAAAGATTTCGCCCGCCTGTGTGAACATGTCTGTGTACATGTAGTTTTATTCAAAATAATGTGTTACGTAACCTTTAAAAAATCGCCAGTTACAACCACATGGCTGAAACGTCAGCAATGAACAACCGGACAGGCAATGTACAACTGCATAAACAATGTACAGCAGTATACAGTGGTACAGCCTACCCGCTAAACGCATCGACCATGCAAGCCAGTATCAGCAACGTACAGCTAAGACAACCTTGTAATTGAAGCTTTGTACACATTTTCCAAAAAACGCACAGCGCAAGAAATTTACCCCCTGCCTATTTGCAGTTCGCAACTCAACTCCCCCGTACCGTAATCACGTGAGTATAGCCCTCCCGTACGTATGTCCACACATGTACATGTACATGTACTAAACCATGCACTGCACTATCCTACGCGCCTTTGGCAACCAATCGCGCACATGCAGCAGCTCGCAGAGCGCTAAGCCCCGCCCAGTCACCTACATAGCCTTGTGCAATCACGCAAAATCTACTGGCAAAGGGTCAACAATCTTCACAGTCACGCACACAGTGCACTAACTATTGTAATAATGGCGTAGAGAATAAACTTGATCTAAGTCCACACACTTTCCATCACATAGACAATGATTTCCAGGCCGGGCATTCAAAACTTTAGAAGTAATTAGGAGGGCCTGATATGTCGATGCTACAACGATTTTCCTCAAAGGGAAAACATATTTAATTGATTGGAATAACAAAACAAGGTAGAAAGCTCACCAGTAGAGACTTGCGTCCCTGGGCATCGTTTGCGTATTTCTCGAGTTGCTGCTTGCATCCAGTGTTCCCCAGGAAGCGGCTCCGGTGGCGGACCGAAGTAACAAGTCCTCAACTGACTCTCAACAACTCCTGCGTAAACTTGTGAGTCGAAAGCGAAAAAGCAATAAAAATGGTGTAAATATTACCAAGCTATTCAAGTTCAGAGGATAAGAATCCATGCCTCAAAAGACATTATATGAAACTCATGCTGGTCAACAGTATTCCAACGACTAAGGCCAAGTAAAAAAAAAAACATGTTTAGCGTCCCCGCCCGCTTCATTTTGGCCGGTCATTTTGATTGGTTTTTTTAAAACGATTGACTGATTGTGTGTTACCAGTTAGTGATACAGTATAGTCAATTGTGACATTATCAGATTGTGATACATAACCTGTTGATTACTGCATTATCAGTAGTAACATCCTGTCCAAAGTACAAAGTAAGTACAAGAAAGCGGAACCCATACCCCAAAAAAAAATATATTTCATTTGTTACAAAATATGTAGCACCAGACTGGCAAGCCAATTTCATAAGCAATTTTAACATGAAAACAATACTGCAATTGCTCAATCCGTTCAAAGAATATCACCATTTAAACGCAATGCGGGGGGCGGAGTTCACACCCCCATTTCACCCCAACCCGTGGCTCCGTCATTGGTTTCCGGGAAAACCAATTTTGTTTAAAAATGGCCTCACAAAGGCAAAACGAAACAGATAACAATTTACGAGTCAAATTATACTGGGAAAGGTCAGTCTCTAAACGCTTCAGTAAACACAAATAACGTACTATAAATGATGTACATGCTCCAATTATCAGGCCAGTTGGTTTCCATTGTCGTGAATACAACGATCGCATGCACAATGGTTCCCAAATATAAGCGGAAATTAAAAATGCCTTTGTTCGCCTTAACGTTTGTCGGCGGTGAAATTAATTTTCTTGCCAAAAATACTCCAACCGTACTGAAATTGAATCGCAGGAAAGGAGCACGGTCAGGCAGCTATTTTCTTCTATCACTGCATCCTTGTTTATACTCTTCGCCTGCTATATAATTTTAATTTAAGAGACAATAGCGCCATATATTGACTCAGTTTGCTGAATTAGTCTGGTTCCCTAAGCAGACCTTGTTATAGATCTGTGCACTATATTATCCCTCTTGAATATCAAGACTAGTGTTTCCGATCCCATGTAAGCAGAGTGATTGTAAAAGTAATCGGCACCCAACATTTTCAAAACTACTTTATTGACTAAGTTTGCTGAATTAGTCTGGTTCCCTGGCCAATTACTTTCCTAATGTCTCTCAATACAGTAGGGCGTAGATAGCCGTCAGATGCAAAAAATAGGCCATGACGCAACAAAGTTATAACAAACTCCTGAGCTCCTCTAACCGCATGTTGCGCAATGGACTTTAAACGTTTTCAGAGATACTTGTAGTGATATGAGTCACAACTAGGTGACTTGTCCCTTCTGTTTATGAACAGTAAAAGAATTGTACTATAGGCCTAGTTATGCAAATTGAATAGCTACAAATTAAGCAGACCTTGTAATGGATCTGTGCAGTATATTATCCCTCTTCAATATCAAGACTAGTGTTCCCATGTAAGCACACGTGATTGGAAAAGTAATTGGTACCGAAGATGTTCTACTTCTTTAAAAGCAATCATATTTAGAATACTACAACGAAACTGCAAAAGTAGAACATTCTTGCTTGGCACATTAGCTGGTAATTTGTTTTGCATATATTTTTGGTACTTAGTAACATTTCAGTGCAAGGGAGATCCATGAAATGGACCTCTCGTAGCTGAGCTAATCACAAGTCAATCACAAGTCAATCAAAAGTCAAATCACAAGTCACTTTTCAAGTACTAAGAACGGGATGATTATAAGGATAAGTAAATCATAGCATGTCACATCGAGACTAGATTTGCTCTGTGACTATATCGGACACTTGTCTCAATTACAACTCGGCATCTAACCCTTACAATTTGTAGCGACACTGAAGTCTAAATTGAAGCTGATGCATGCTTTCCTGGTTATTTTTTACCTTACACTGTAAAAAAGTTAGATAGCAAAATGGGTTGATAATTTGACCAGTGCTGGTCGAATTATCAACTGCCTACACTCTTGGGCAAATTCTTCCCAATAGTTTGACAGGTTTTACCCAATTCAACCCAATATGAGGTAATTTCATACCAATGTCGGGTAAATTACATTGCCCAACAGTATTTTACCCAACGTTTTTACAGTGTACGATATTTCAAAAAAGGGTTCATTTATAGCAAGAAGGGGCGTTTTTTAGTAGAAATAATACCTAATTCAGGTGGGGCTGAATCCGAAAATGCATGGATACCAAGCTGGATACGTAGTGGAAATATACATAATTTGCATACATCTTTAATTCCCGTCGTGTCATATATTTTTCCCATTTTTTTGGTATATTTTTTATAACTGTATTTTGTTGAAAGGTTTACTTTGGTGTATATACTTTCACTTCCTTACTTCAATAACATTTTCTAAAACACATAAGTGACTGAATAATTATGAGAACATAGTGACAATCCAAAATGGCCACTATTATACCCTAAAGTTGCAAGCATTTACTTGTCCTCGGATATCATCAAGTAGTAGTATCAAGCCAAATGTCAGCATTGATGAGCTTCAAAATTTAAAAAAAAAAGATACTAAATGGTACAGTTGCTCCAAAAAATTAATGGTAAATTATTTGAAAAATGATTGTATCTTGATATTTAGGCCAAAACGGGAAACGGAAGGAAATGAGGTGTCCATCAATTGGGCTAAAAATTAGGCGAAGGGTTGCCGAACGTGGGGGACTTGCACAACTTCAAGAAATATTCCCCAAATAAAAGATTATTGTTGCGTACAATAATTATGTCAACGTCAAAACCTTTTTAACAACAATTTTGAAAATTTTCTTGAACTTGTTCAAGTTTCCCACGTACGGGAACCCTTCAAGTACTTTTTAGCCAAGTTTATGGACACCTCTTTTTTCCGTTTTATATCACAATGTTATCTTAGTTCACATGATTTTTCCATATAGGGTAACTGTAGGTTACCGAGGTTTGGCAAGACTACTTGATGATATCTAGAATTAAGGTAAATGCGTGCAACTTTAGGATATAATAGCAGTCATTTAGGATTGTTTCTGTGTCCTTATGATTATTTAATCAATGATATGCTTTAGAAAATGTTATTGAAATATGGAAGAGTAAGTAGAATCACCAAATAAACTGTTTCAATAAAGAATAAAATAATTAAAAAAAATATACTAAATATGGGAACAAATATATTACAAAACAGGTATTAAAGATTTAGGCAAATTAGGCTATTTTCACTAAGACTCCAGCTTGGTATCCATCATTTTCGGATTCAGCACCCCCAAATTTGGTCAAATATCTATGTTACCAACTTCTACTCGGAAATGCTTCTTCATGTAACTTTTTTTAAATGTCGCTTAGACTATTGAGAGTGAGAGTTGAAAACGGCGAGAATTGAACACTATAGGCCTGAGGTATCCCATCGCAGCTCTTAGTACACAATCCACTGGCGATTCACAATGTAGTTCGCCACCAAGATAACGACATTTACATAAATCGTTGGGGAATTTTTTGAGCAACATTTTGATACCCAGTTTGCTACCCAAGACTGTAAATCGTCCAACACTGACAACGGTTTCTGAAAAATGATGCAGTTTTGAAAAGTTGTGAATTTATAGAGCACGCCAGTCGAGTGGAAATTGCTGTGTGACAATGTGACATTGCCCGAAACGAACGGCGGGAATATCACTCGCACCGTATACTTGTGTGCATGAGAGCACGTGAAATTGAATTACCCGCGCTTTGTTTGGGCACTGTGCAGTCGATAGGAACCAATGAATTACGGGCACGTGTCTTGGCGCTTAGCAATTTCTCCTCGCGTATCTCTTAAATTGCAACTTTTCAAACTGCATCGTCTTTTATAAATCGTTGTCAATTTTGGACGATTTACACTCTTTGGTAGCAAAGGGGTATCAAAATGTAGCTTACAACATTCCCCATAGGTATATATAAATGACGCCATCACAAGACGACCAGATTCAAAATTATGACTCCTCTGGGGAGTATGGACTTTCTTTTTCTGCGGTGTGTATCTTGTATTTTCACTTCACTTTGAGTACTTTAGCGAGATTTTCCCGTGAGACCATCAAGGTGTATTGACATAATTTTGTTGCCGTGGAAATTGTTTACAAACAGGCCGGAGTACCTAATATAGGTTTTCCATGACAATTTTGGAAAATGTGCACATGAATTTGTACTAGCCCTGTTTCTATTTAATACATGATGATTCTATTTCCATGAAGGTGCATTCAGTCGTAAAAAAAAGAAAAAAAGAATGAGCGTACGATTTCCCGTATGTGCACTGAATTTAGTATATTGACATTTCATTTTAGCGCAAAATCGAAGGCACATCCGCAATCCCGCATTCCTTTTAATTTTTCATTCATCTATTTCGCTAAATGTGCAGTCGATTTTCCGCGCAGTGTTATTTAACGTATGCCTGGTCAAGCAATGGACGCGTGTTAGCAAACATGTGAGGAATGTTTAACTGAAGGATTGAATATTTGAATATTCATGATGATTGAACTAAACCAAGTGATAGTCTTTTGAAACATACCGAATATAGGTTTACCCGGACAGTTTAGGAAAATGTGCATTTGGATTTGTAAAACATAAATTCAAATTGGCGCTGATTTTGAGAATGATGTATATCCTGGTTTCATTTTCGCAATAACTAGCATTCGATTTCATTTTGCGTCATTCAAATAAATGAAATGTGCATAACATTTCATTTAAAGGATTACAAAATACGTAATTTTGGCTTTCGGTTTGACGGATGCGTTGCCGATTATTACGAATGTGCAATCCAGATCGCAGAAAATTATTTTTTTATTGTGACACGGGGCTGAATTGAACATTCGTTTTCATTTGTTACAATTTAAATTCGCATATTCCGCATTCAATTTGATTAAAATATACAGGCCTATACAAATCTTGGCCCAGCTTTGATTGATTCATTAATTAATCAACTTGAATGCCTAATTGATCATTAATGTGTTTGTTCTTATATACACGAAGGCCTATTTGAAATAGGCAAATGAAATGTTAAAAAGATATAAATCTTACCTTAATAAAATCAATCACAATAATCTTGTACACCACTTGGTTTCAGCTCAATCATCATGAATATGCAAACTTTCAATTATTCAATCAAACATTCCTCATAATGCTACTTTAATGTAACATATATGAATTCCAATGCTTGACCAGGCATACGTTAAATAGCACTGCGCGGAAAATCGACTGCACATTTAGCAAAATAGATTGGTGATAAATTGAAAGGAATACAGGATTGCGGATGTACCTTCAATTTCGCGCTAAAATGAAATGTCAATATATCAAATTCAGTGCACATTCGGGAAATCGTACGCTGATTTTTTTACGACTGAATGCACCTTCGTGGAAATAGAATTATCATTTGTTAAATAGAAACATGGATTTGGAATGTTCATTCTATTTCGCTCGAAAATGAAGGCTTCTTTTACAAATGCATGTACACACTTTCCACAATTGTCCGGTATAACCTATATTAACAAATGAAAAGGAATGTTCAATTCAGCCCGTGTCACAATTAAAAATCGATTTTTTGCGAATCGGTTTGCACATTTGTAATAATCGGCAACGCCTAATTACGTATTTTGAAACATTTAAATGAAACATAATGCACATTCATTTATTTGAATGATGCAAAATGAATCGAATGCTAGTTATTGCAAAAATGAAATCAGGATATACGTCGTTCTCAAAATCAGCGCCAAAATATGTTTTACAAATTCAAAAGCACATTTTCCAAAATAGTCCGGGAAAACCTATATACAACACAAATTTTAACAGCAGTTCAGCAGTTAGTTTTTCGTCATTGTTTTGTTAAATCATACCGCAATAATTGGTGTTATGGGAAAACCAATGAATTCCTCTAGAACAATGGTGCATAATGATCTCAAAAGGTTTCTATTATACAGGGTGAGTTAAAAAAAGCGGAACCCAAACCCAAATATATTTACTTCATATTTAAAAGAAATATGCAGCATCAAAAATTATAACGAATGGAAAACCAATTTCATAAACTACTTTTAGATGAAAAAAATACTGAAATTGTTCAATCCGTTCAAATTATATCACCATGCATTTAAACGCAATGACCCTAAAACCTCTTTTGTCCAAAATGCTATTTCAAGAATCGTCGTCACAATTGTCTTCAAACTTAAACAGCCATAAAGCCTCAGTTTAAAAGTTAAAAATATCAAACGAAATCTTTTATTATTTGCCTAAGCATGAT